ACTGTTGCTTACATTCCATCAATTAGGAAGTACACGTACTGTACTGACAGATATTTAGGATTCAGTAAATAAATAAAATATTAAATGTTTCTGGAGCTTTAAACATATCCCATATTTTGGAGAAATGAAAAATGTTTGCAACTACTGATGTTACAATTCTTAGTAAACTGAGCTAAATTTACTTATAATTCAGCTAAATTTACTTACAATATCATAAAGCAAGATTCAATCTATCCCACTGAATTGCCACATTATATACAGATTATAAATTATAAATCTGGATCATGTATCTATAAGTGTAAAACTGATACTGGACTCATGTTGGTAGGCTAGAACAGCTTAGGACAATATTCATATCATCCTTGACCACTGGCTATGCTAGTTGAGGGATGTAGACCAAGTTCATATCATCCTTGACCTCTGGCTATGCTAGCTGAGAGATGACCCAACAGTTGCATTCCAACATTTGTGAAACCCAGATTTAAAAAGACTGATTGAGAAAATGAAGCAATTCCTTCTCTAGCCATAGGTAAGCTTGAGAAATGTTAAAAAGGCAAGTTCTCTTTCAAGATGAACAGCTCCTGGTGACTACAGGAGAGCATCCACATAGGGGTTTTCTGGCAGCAACAAAGAATTGGTTTCTCATTGTCATCTTCTAGGATTTTTAAAAAATTTCCTAATCTAGCCAATAGTCATGGGACTGTCTGATGCTATTCCATTCAGTTTTTAATGTAGTATGATTCTGTTTAGCTTAACAAGATTAGCCAAGTTTGGTTAAGTACTTCTACTTGCTATCTGGCAGCTCCATAAGACATGCTGTTTTCTTGGAAGTATTTTGTCATTGCCTTTTTCCAGTATGTTTTTTAACTTCCCAGTTTAACCTAATGCCCTGAAAGTCTCCCATCCAAATACTAATCAAGCCTGAAACTATAGCTTTTTAGAGATCAGCCTAGATTTGCTTGAGGAAGAGAGGCCTATGGTATTATTTTTTTCCTATTTATACATTAAAATTAGCCAGAGAAGTGATGACCACAGATCATATCAAATGACATGCTATTGGATAACTCATCAAGGAAATGGTTATGGATGCTGATACAATGACCGTGGATCTAAGAAGACTGTAGATAGACACTCTGCAATTATCAGCTTGAGTTCAGTAGTACTTCTCCATGTCCCATCCATACATGACTGGTGCTCCAAGAAATCATCTTTAGACTGTTTGTACTTCAACTTTAAAAAAAGTCTTTCACAAATGTTAATCAAAAGTTTCTGGGCAAACACAGCAGTCAGAAGTTAAGAGGACAGACACACTTACAGACTGGCAATTGGTAAAGGACAGGAAGCAGACAGTAAAAATTAAATGGACAATTTTCACATGAGAGGAATATGACAAGTAAGGGTCCTCAGGGATCTGTGCTGGGACTGGTGATTCTTAACTTGTTTACAGATGACCTCAAGTGACTAACAGAGTTCAAAGTTGCTGTTCAACCATCAAATTATTCAGGGTGGTAAAATCAAAATAAGATGGCAAATAGCTTCAAAATGATCCTTCCAAATGTTGCATATGGCCTTTAAAATAGCAAATGTAGTTCAATGTAAGCAAACATAAATTCATGCTTATTGGCACAAACAACTAAATTTCATGCATTCATTAATGAAATCAGGGCTGGCATTAAATGATCCAGAAAGGCATCTGAAAAGGTGGATAACTCAGTGAAAATGTGACCTCTCTGGACAGCAGCCAGTGATGAAGGAGCAGGAGCAGCAAACTCTATATTAGGAGTAATGAAAAAGAAAAACTGGCAATATATTAATGGCTTTATATAGATTTTGTATAGAATAATATTTATCGTGGTAGTCGACAAACCTGAAAAATGACAGAGATGATATAAGATCATTTATGATGGAGAAAATGTACAAAGGGAAGGTTTTCTTTCTCTTTCCCAATGTCAGGATTTCAATTCAACTATTAAATTAAATGCAAGGATGATTGGGGATCTTCAAACAACACAAAGTTGAGTGATTAGATTTGATGTTATAAGGTGTGATGGCCATTCCTTTGTAAGCTTTTACAAGGTGCTGAACAAACTCATGGAGGGAACAGCTATCAACAGCTGCTAGTTCTGATAGATATATATTACCCTCTTGAATCAAAGGAGGGTTCCTGAATTCATCTGATTGGCCACTAGATGTTACAAAATGCTGTATTAGATGGGCCTACCCCATCACAGCTCTTCTTGCATTCTTACCCGAACGAAACTGCCTGAGATACGCCAAGGAACTTAATGCAGAGAAATGCTCTTCCAAATGAGAAAAAACAACAGCAACAAACAAACATAGAAATGTGTGTTTCTACCGTTACACAAATCTATTGAAGATCTACAGATTTTCACAATGCCTAAAACCCTTTATATATAATTGTATGAATCCTCAATTACAGTTTGCTATACAATGAAAAGATTGGTTTTCATTTTAATTTAAGAAAAAAAAATCCACAGTTCATTTCCATTCTATCAAGGAAGTACAATGTAATCTATTTAGTCAATTTACATTGTGTATTGTTTATCCAACATAATGGCATCATATACTATAATGTGACAAAATGCATTATTTAAATACATTGTGCCGTACACAGGCTGCATTATTCTTTTCAAGACCGTAGCCATTTATTGATACATGCAACATAATTTGCTATAGCTTATAAAGGGGGATAATTGTCAAAGCCAGTTCATAAAAGAAACCACCAGAATTCCTTGGGGGTTTTCTTTAGCTAGATAATATATATCAGAATAAAATCATCTGTCTGTCTGTCTGTCTGTCTATCTATGAATAATATCAATGTAAAAATGTTTTTGTTTCTTTCTCACATTTACATATGTTCTAGATATTAGTCAAAGAAATCTAAAGCTATAATTAAAGTACTACTATTTGCTGCGAATCAAATGCTCTTATTTGATTTTTTTTTTTTCTTTAAATAGTACTAGGAAATAATTACATGTCTGAAATATTCCAGAAGAGTTTAGCCACAGCAAAGTTCTAGCAACTTCTTTATACAACATCGTCCCAAATTATTTCAAACACTTTAATCAGAACACCCAAGCTAACTCATATTTTCTTTTTAATGTAAAACTAGGTACCTTGCAGCATTTTAAAAGATCTAATAATATTGCCTTCAAACAACTAGGTTCCTAAGCAAAAATATTTTCAAATCAAAGCTCTAAAAAATTATGCTGGAAGATTTTTTAAAAAAAATCTTTAATGTTTAAAACTTTAGCAGAGGACAGGACTACATTTTAAACCTTTGAATATTATTTGTACTTTTTTATATAAAACAATTTTATTATACTACAGCATTTTAATGATGTACTCTCCAGCAATTTTAATAATATCCATGTTATTTACTGGCTTCTTGCAAAATATAAACAGCTGCAAGCTATATTTCATCTGCAGTTGTCTTAAAAACAATTAGAAACCAAAGTATCAAGTATATTACATTTTCTTCTTACTTCAAATGCTGTTCAACTTCTATTCAAATATTCATAAAAAACCAACAATTTTATTTATACACACACACATACACACACACAGAGAGCATATTTCTCTGTCCTGAATTTTTCCATGACAGTCAAGAAAGCTAAGCAATTTTCTTGTAAATCGTTTTTAGCATTTCTTCTTCAACAGATGCATGGAAAAGTTAAAAAATCTACACCATAATTCATGTATGAATTTAATACAATCATTTCATTCCTTTAACTGTTCAGTGCACTCGGTGAATACTAGCAAGATCATCTAAGATTATGAGGACTAGCATACTTATTACTGAAAGCATCAGAGAAATATGTAGCAAGAGGAATAGTACAGTACTTGTAAAATAAGAATATTTTATTTTATGCATCCTTTCATTTAGTAAGACAACAGCAGAAGCACAAATCAAAACTAACAGTTCTGCAGTATACAATATTATTCATCTGGCATTCCATCAAATTTATAATTATCTCTATAAGTACAACTTATATGCCTGTCAAATTGCTCTGACATAGGTAGAATAGGTGCCATCACCATTTCAAATTGATATTACAGTGCTTGAATAATGAAAGAACCCAGTATTTTACTATTTAGATTTAAAACTATGTTCCTAAATACATTAGTATTAAGACTAAACTTCAAATTAATCAATAAGGCAACTGTTTTAAAATATAAGATATTGTTTATTTCAGAGTGTTTTTTAAAAAATATTTTAGAAGAATAACGTGCAGCGAAGAACAACATATACATGAACACTATTTTCTGCAGGAATTATTACCCATAATTTATAAACTCACTCTCTCTCTCTTCCCATCTCTCTCTCTCTCACTCTCTCTTCTCATATATATAGTTTTTATGGCAAAATAATTTCAATATATGCTAGTAATTAATTAGGATATTGCCCCAATTTCTTCATAAACATACCATTTGTTAATGGTGAAAATAGGACAATTGGAAGTTTAATAATGCCTTAATTTATTACTGTAACCTAGAATTCCTTTGATAATACCTGAAGCCTACTGGCTGACACTTGGAATCACACACAGCGAGAGACTTATTTGAGCAGATACATTTAACAGCTCTAATTCAGAAACTTCACTGGAAAAATGAAGATGTCCTTCTATTCTGGGCTCAGACCCATGTAAATGTTGCATAAATCCTCCTCACAAATCTCTTTTAACATGCAAATCCATCAATCATCAGAACACTGACAAAGAACTTAACCAGCTTGTGAAACTAATGCATATTCTGTCTGGAGCTGGATACTGATAGAACTATCCAAAACACCACCCATCACCAATTTCTTTTTGGTCAAAGGAGAATAATTTATGCAGTCATTTCGTTTATCCATATTATGATTAAATGCTTAGGACAATAATTGATTTCATTTGTAAATTAGCAACATGACCAATGGCACCTCTTTTACTTCAAACCACAATAGAAATACAAATAGTATATTGACAGGGAGTACTTACTGAAGATGGTAAACCTGGAGGAACCTTTCGAACCTTCTTTGTTTGTACTTCTGAAAGAAGAAGTCACAGAGGAACTGTAAGACGTATGTTTTCAGCCTCAGACCCTCACAGTCTATGATTTAGCACTGAGCTTAACATGTCTTTATGAAGTAGCATAAGACAGGTCACTAGAAGTTGCATATTAGAAATGTAAGGAAGTAACTCACCCACAGAAGTGCTGTGCAGAGGCCTCCTTCGCGGGTTATTGCTAGAATACTGATAGTACTGAGAACCAGGTTTGGTAGGAGAAAGAGTTCCAGGGTTGCCCATTTCCATGTCACCTCCAAGGAGACTTTGCTAAAAGATTTTTGAAAAATAAGTATTGTTACATCTAACTTTTCCCCTATTACCTTTTCTAAGCTGATTCAAAGAACAGCCAATAATATGCAAGTGTCTGCAACAAGCGAATTGTGACAGTAAGTCAAAATCCATTTCAGCATGGTGGCTTTAGATATTACAAAACAGTTGTTTAAAAAAGAGAGAACAATTTCACTTTTACTGAAAGGAAATGCTTAAACGTTTAATGATTAAAATAGCTTTTTATTTTTTCTGCTTAAAGGAAACAGCCGATGAATATCTTAAATTTTTTCAGAACTTTATTAACAAAAGATCCAGACCTTATTCTTTTTCTGCATTATTTAGGATGAACAAAATATATTGTGTTCTTCAATATAACTTTTTAGCCTGATGCTAATGTTATCAGTTAGCGACTGCAAGATAATTTCATTGTGAAGAGGTATTCATCGTAAAAAGGTATTTGTGTCCAATATAACTATTTTTAAAAAGTTGCATAAAGTTACAAAATAAAATGTGTTAATCAAATATATGATCTTTGAATAAGAAGTGAAAATAAAAATGTATATTATTGAAATAAGCTACTGTTTTGCTACATTATTTGGAGCAGGGAACAGAGAATGAGAGACTACTAAAATTAGTGAATAGAAGTTGTTCTAACAAGCTACTTCAATATTATCCCGTTACAATAAGAACGTGAACATCCAGAAATACAAAAAGTACTTACTTATGAATGGACAATAGTTACTACTAATCCAGAAGAAATGGAATCTGAGCACAGTAACAAGGAAAAAGCAGAGATTGACATTTTCTAAAAATTCTATTACTATAACTACATTGCAACTTACCCATAATATATAAATCCCCTGATTATACTCTGCACTGAACACATTGTTCTTTTAATTTTTCTGATATGCAATAAAACAGGTGCAGATACTACCATTTATATGATGAAGAAATTTCCCATTTAATAAAGAAATTTCAAAATTAAGTACCAAAAATCTAACTTTATCGTTACTTGTAATCAACTTTTACTGACTGAACTAATTACTGTACTTGATAAAGTACAGAATGTGTTTTCCCTAATCTAAATTCTAATCACCATGTCACTCACAACAGACTTAGTAATGCTTCACTAACACACTATTCACATGCAAAACACTCTAAATAGGCCAATTATGACTCTGCCCCTGTTCCCTGGTTAACCCGCTGAGAACTGAAAAATTTCACAAGACAGTCACCAACTAAAACAAAGACTCCTTATTTTAAATTAAGGCAGTCTTTTTGATTCCTAAATAGTTCAACAAAGTACCGTGCCTTTGTCTGAAAGCAGTTGGTCAAATATGACCTATGAGCTGGAAAATACATTGGAAAAAATAAGTAAATAAAATAAAATCCAAATATAACTTTTTCATCCTTGGAATATATATTAAAATGTCTTTCCCTAGAAGTGCAATTCGTAAATTGTTAGTAGCGAGCTACAATCAAGATCTGATGTGCTGAACCTTATTTCCAATTTCATACAAAGTCAGAAAGGAGATTTTCACATCCACAAGTGAAAATAGGAAAATGTTAAAGTCATCTTCTTTGTAGTAATTAACAGATCATAAGAATGTTTGCCTTTTGACAAAAGTAGGGAGGCTGAGAATATGCTGTGGTAACAAGCAGGTTTCAAACAAATTTAATAATTAACTTTGAATAATTTTTATATATAATAAAACTTATTAAACCTTAGCATGGAAAGCCATTGGAATACATTTTAGGAAACAGACATGTTAGATGTATCCAACTTCTCCATTAAATGATTTCTGTGATCTATCTATCTATCTATCTATCTATCTATCTATCTATCTATCTATCTATCTGTTAAACACCCCAAGTTTAATTTTTAATATAACTACAAGAGAAAAACTGGTGGCAATTCTAACAAAAATTAAGTCCTTTGGGAAAAACGACAGGATTACACAAATAATAAACACAAATAGAAAATAAATGTTTCCAAACCACCATTTCATTAGTTTAGTTGTATTCTGGCCACTCTGTAAAGTTGCACACAATGTACAACTTTAGCCGCAAAAGCCTTCAGTTCTCAAATATGCCAAAATTACTCTGAAGTTGCAAGGCTTTAAAGTCTAACATATTTGCTTTGAAATGTCTACCGACTACTTTACTAGATATTTACCCACTGCAGTATATACTTTTTGCTCAGGATAATACCACGTGGACCTGATGGAGTGGATTGCAATCCATAACAATTCTGGGATTATAAATCAGAAGAAAAAAAATATAATCCATAATACTCCCAAAGAAAGAAGAGCCTTTAAAATAAGGCGTCAGTCATATATATTACCATTTCTAGCATAGCAGCCCTGACTGTAAGCAAAAGAGCCTGTATTCCTTTTTTTAAAATAAAAAAAAGGAACAGCACACAAAAAGTAACAAAACTTTATCAAAAGCAATACTGTAGTGAGGGTTGGCAAAAACCACCCACTTTTCACTCAAGCAACGTATTTACATTTTGCTACATGGGAATAACATATAAGAAGATATATAATAATCAAGCATCTTTGCAAATGTATAAATTTGTGTATGTGCAGCAAATGCAGAAAGGGGGGAGGGGATGGTAGCAAAACAGTAGTAGCTTCTTCTAGCCTTTCACTTAAGTGCCTCTAATGTGGTCTTTATTTAAGTCTTTGTTTTTCATTGGAACAGCTAAGTCATTCTTCTGAGGCAACAAAACATGCATTTATGTGCTCTTTTGGGGGCTTCTCTAAGTACTCCACTGGGGAGAAAGAAGATAAATATATATCTATTCATTCGGAGATACTCGTAAATAGAACAACAGCCATCTACTATTGCTCAATCATTGCTGACATCTTTTAGCTGAGGAACAACACTGAAAAATCACGAGGCCATTTAACATTTGAGCTTTCTCAACTTAAAAAAAGAGAATGAATTATGAAATTCAAAAGCTAAATTCAAACAGTTTTAATCTACAAAGGCCTTGGAGTTTGGTATCTGCAGAATTGTATTTGCACAAGTAAACTCCAGTCAAACAACTGAGTTGTTCAATGTTTTCTAAGTATTTACTATTGTTATAGAGTTCCACTGCTTTAACAGTGGAACAATTGTCTGAAAATTAATTTATATGTTTTTTTTATACAATATTGAAGTTCATCTCTGGAAAGCTACCTGAAGCCCACTGAATTAGAAAGGCAAGGTAGAAATATTTGGAAAGAAATTGTACACCACATGGAGCTTTGGGTTAGATTCTGCACCGCCCTTCTGCTAAGCTTGAAGTAGAAATATTTGGAAAGAAATTGTACACCACATGGAGCTTTGGGTTAGATTCTGCACCGCCCTTCTGCTAAGCTTGAATCTGCAACTGAAGTCTCTAACTGTGCTACTTTACACAATGGCCTCAAAAACACAGAAGTTACTTCTGCAACACATACCGAAAGAAATAGATGATGATCAGGGCATTTATGGATGAACTCTTGGCCCTGAGGCTATGAATCATCAGAGAATACACTTAGTAGAATCTGTTCAACTTTCACAACCCTAACCCTAAACTCTTCTCCAGACAAAAGACAGAGGCCTACTGAGAGAATATTAGCTCAGGAATTGGCTAACAGCACAGAATCATGTACTAACCCCAGAACACTGTAATCGAACATTAGAAGAAATACGTATAAAAGTTGTCTCAACAAAGAAACTTGATTATGTTGCTTGATTATGATTTTGCTATAGATAATACAACTTGTTTGGGTCCCTTCTTCCTTTCCTTAAGCTTAGTTCCTTTCTTCTTTCATTTTATATCTTTTTGTAGTCATCCTGCCCCACCTAAAAAGTCCTACCTATACATATGAGAAAAAGAAATTATAAATTAAAGCTGAATTTTAAGAATATATACAATTTAAAAAGAGAGAAATTAAAAACAGGAAATCAGGGTGTTTTTTTTTTACATTCTCAATGAAAATAATTGTTTGGGGCTAAATAAAATTTTATACATGCAAGTCTAACATGTTTGCATAGGCATAAACAATTTTTTTTTTCAAATATAATACATGGAAAACTGTTCCCCCCCCCCATACTTATCCTTAATATAGGATGGATGGTGTCTTCCTTAATGAATAATTGATTTACATAAAATAAATGCCCTTGAATATTAAGGCATATGGAAATAAATCTCAATATATTAAAAAAAAAAAAGGAAAAAAAGACAGGATAGAGAAAAACTTTCTGGCAAAAGGCCTTTTGACTGGCCTTCCTGGAATGATTTCCCCCTTCTTTCTCATGTTTATTAAATTATGATCAGATATCAAACTACTTCATGTAGAACAGAGAAAAGCAGTCTTATATGAAACCAGATTACATTTCTTTTCCGAGCATTTGCCAAGTTATTGCAGGTTGAGTACATGTTTGGACATTTTAGCACTCTAACCAGCTGCATTTCTCACTACCTCCACCATCTATGTGATCTATCGTGACTGCAGGCCATATTTTATTCTCCACTTATGTAGTAAAGAAAGCATCATACCCTAAAGGTTTAAAGAAGCATATTGGGTAGGAGGTGGATAGCAGTGAAGGTGAATAACTTGATGATTTCTCCTACGTCTTCTCAATGCTATAAGGTCTTACTATAACTCTTGGCTTCTATATAGTCCTGAGGGTACAACTAGCAACCAACTCTTAAATCTGTAATGTTTAAGAGATCTATGAAAAGAACAGCTTCACTATCGTATCATTTAATTTGCACATCCAGGAAAGGGTAACACCACAGGAAAAGAACTGTTTTTCTTGAATTAAAAAAAACAATGAATGAAGGAATCAGCTTACTTTTTAGCAACATTGGAGGAGAGACAGCATTATCATGCTAGAGGAAAAAAAGGATTTATAGAGGATTCTCAGGTAAAGGAATATGATACCCTATCTTCTCAGCCATATAAATACTCCAGTAGGTGTCACTATGCATTTCCATAAAATGTTGCACAGAAAATAGA